CAGTTATACAGGTTGTCCTAAAAACATGTTAAAACAAGTATTACAGCATGTTTTCAAAAGAAACTAGTAGTTAAAACTATGTTTACACATGTATAAACAGATACTGAGTGTCCTAAACCACATGTTGCACAAATACAAACAGGCTGTCCTAAAATTTGTATAGGCACAAATAAAAGCATTTACACAGGGTGTCCAAAAATATGCGTGAACCAAACCCCAGCAATATAAACTCAATAGTCCTAAAGAATAATGTTAAAGATATTGTGAAGAGAACCTTTTTTCAAAAGTTCCTGAAGATATCATAAAAGTATAAGTCTTGAGAAAACCCGTTTAATTTTTAAAATGAAGTGAAATATGTATTTCTACGCAAATCTACGCATAATGTTCATCTATTACGAATATGCAACAGAAGATCCTATGTGAAATATTTTCATCACAATAAAGTAATGTTTGAAGGTATATTTTGTTAAATGCAAATATTATTCACTTATTTCTGGCATTTTTCACACTACCGCATTTTCCAAAGTTACTGTACTGTACTGTACTGTACTGTACTGTACTGTACTGTACTGTACTGTACTGTACTGTACTGTACTGTACTGTACTGTACTGTACTGTACTCTGTACTGTACTGTACTGTACTGTACTGTACTGTACTGTACTGTACTGTACTGTACTGTACTGTACTGTACTGTACTGTACTGTACTGTACTGTTAAAGGGACTGCAAGCGTAATTTCAAATGACCCCCATTTTAGATGGTAAGGCCTGATTCACAATGGTACACGTCTTAGCAACAATGTGGACGTAATTTTTCTAGGTTTAAAAGTGTTTAATTCTGATAATTCCCGTATGTTTTTCTTCAGTAGAAATTCTTAAATGACTTTTGTAAAAAATTCGCAATTTAAAAAATCAGTTTTCAAAATAATAAACATATTAATTCATACTTGATCACAAAAAAACTTTAAAGGGTACCGTTGTTAATCAGGCATTGCCATCTTTGTATATGCATGGTACCTTGCTACCACGCTCAAAGTCCTAAAAAACAAATTAACCTTTTTGGGGGTTACAATAATTTCAGGCCATACACTTATAAAGTAAGTAGCACAATTCTAAAAATTCTTGTTCTCATCGTCAGAAAAAGTTCAAGGTTCCAGGGTGTTCGAAAAAAACATCTTAAAAGCATTATCAAGAGTTATCACAATATTCAATCTGCTATTTATATTTGTGACTTTTTTATTGGGACACCCTGTATGTTTGTATTAGGGAGGATCATAGGTTTCTGTTGATACTTAGTTTACTCAATAATCATTTTCTTTAAATCAATACCGCCCAATATCTAGCACATGTATACTCACATCCTTCCCATCTTCATCCTTCTCATTCCTCTCATCTTTATCATTCCCATCCCTCTCATCTTTATCATTCTCATTCCTCTCATCTTTATCATTCCCATTCTTCTCATCCTTATCATTCTCACCCCTCTCATCTTTATCAATCCCATCCTTATCATTCCCATTCTTCTTATCTTTATCCTTCACAACCTTTTCATCCTTATCATTCCCATTCTTCTCATCCTTATCATTCCCATTCTTCTCATCCTTATCCTTCTCATCCTTATCATTCCCATTTTTCTCATTCTTATCATTCCCATTCTTCTCATATTTATCATTCCCATTCTTTTCATCCTAATCATTCCCATTTTTCTCATTCCCATTCTTTTCATCCTTATCATTTACACCCATCTCATCCGTATCATTCCTATTCTTCTCATTCCTATACTCATTCTTCTCATCTTTATCATTCCCATTATTCTCATCCTTATAATTCCCATTCTTCTCATCCTTATCATACAGGGTGTCCCAAAAAACATGGGAATTCAGTGTCGAATTCGATATCGTCTTTATGAATAATTCTTTGATTTAGTATAGTGATACCTACTGAGAAAGCTGTAATCTGTAAGAGTTTCGTCTGCTATGTTCACAATTTGTTTGTTTATGTTTTGACTGCATACGCTTGTACTTAGTAAAACAAGAAAATTACAGTATACAAACAGAGTAAACTTGTCCGTCTTCACTGTTCATCTTGCGGAGACATTATAGGCACATCTTTGCAGTCTTTTACCCTTTTCATAAAAAAAAACTCTAGCAGACATAATAATATTAGGGCTTTTGAAATTAGGTATTACAATGCTAATTCATAACAAAGACGATATCGAATTCGTCACTGAATTCCCATGTTTTTTGGGACACCCTGTACCAATTATTCTCATCCTTATCCTTCCCATTCTTCTTATCCTTATCCTTCCCATTCTTCTTATCCTTATCTTTCCCATTCTTCTTATCCTTATCATTCCCATTAATCTCATCCTTATAATTCCCATTCTTCTCATCCTTTTCATTCCCATTATTCTGATCCTTATCCTTTGCATTCTTCTTATCCTCGTCAATCCCATTCTTCTCATCCTTATCCTTCTTATTCTTCTTTTCCTAATCATTCCTATTCTTCTCATTCCTATACTCATTCTTCTCATCTTTATCATTCCCATTATTCTCATCCTTATCCTTTGCATTCTTCTTATCCTCGTCATTCCCATTCTTCTCATCCTTATCCTTCTTATTATTCTTTTCCTAATCATTCCCATTCTTCTCAGCCTTAGCATTCCCATTCTGTTCATCCTAATCATTCCCATTCTAAATATTCCAATTCTTCTCATTCTTCTCATTCCAATTCTTCTCATCCTTATCCTTACCATTTTTTTCATCCTTATCATTCTAATTCTTCTCATCCTAATCATTCCAATTCTTCTCATCCTTATCATTCCCATTCTTCTCATCCTAATCATTCCCATTCTTTTACATATTTACCATTCCCATTCTTCTCATACTTATCATTATCATCCTTCTCATCCTTACCATTCCAATTCTTCTCATCCTTATCATTCCCATTCTTCTAATCCTTATCATTCCCATCCATTTCATCCTTATCATTTCCATTCTTTTCATCCTTATCATTTCCATTCTTCTCATCCTTATCATTCCCATTCTTTTCATCCTTATCATTCCAATTCTTCTCATTCCAATACTTATTCTTCTCTTTTATTCTTAAACTTTATATGGCTCATGGACAAATAGAAAATAAATAAACAAAATTCACAAATGTGTGTGACCACTAATGTTCCAGTATATAGTTTAATTATCTCTATAATAGTATATACATTCTATATATTACTATTAGCTCTTCACAAGTATTTCAATATTATTCTACAGTCATCTACAGGGTGTCCCAAAAAACATGGGAATTCAGTGACGAATTTGATATCGTTTTTGTTATGAATTAGCATTCTAATACCTAATTTCAAAAGCCCTAATATTATTATGTCTGCTAGAGTTTTTTTTTATGAAAAGGGTAAAAGACTGCAAAGATGTGCCTATAATGTCTCCGCAAGATGAACAGTGAAGACGGACAAGTTTACTCTGTTTGTATACTGTAATTTTCTTGTTTTACTAAGTACAAGCGTATGCAGTCAAAACATAAACAAACAAATTGTGAACATAGCAGACGAAACTCTTACAGATTACAGCTTTCTCAGTAGGTATCACTATACTAAATCAAAGAATTATTTAAAAAGACGATATCGAATTCGTCACTGAATTCCCATGTTTATTGGGACACCCTGTATGTAAAACATATGTACTTTAATGAAAAATACATATCTATTTATCTATCAATAAAATCATGACGACTTTCTAGTTCAACTTTAATTTCTAATTAATTTCTAATGAACACACAGCTTGGATACACCTAACATGGTAACAAGTCGTCTTCATTGTATTTATATTAACGTCCACCACTGTAGTATATGCGTAGTTTATGTCTTACCCTATTAAACTTAAATTTCATCACTAGAATTATCAAAATAAATAAGAATATCTAGATTTAAATATTTACAGTAATAACAGTGAAACCTGTAATAACGCATACATCGGAAAAATTTATCAAATGTCGTCTTGACAATTTTTCAATGAGTTTTATGCTATATTACGTAAATTTCAGTATTTGTGAAAATAAATAAATAGCCATGAATATGCGGGAACAGTTTTAAAGAGTTCCATATAATCATTTAATTAAAAAACTAAATATCTGCCACATTCCATTATCAGAAAGTGAAGAATACGACATTTGATGAATTCTTTCGATGTATAATAATATACATACGCTAGCCTTAGAGGGCATTTCGCGCCCATCTTCTAAATTAATTGTGAACATGTTCTCTTTGTGTACATCGTAAAACAAAACAAAAATAATTCGCGGATTTTCACAAAAAATTTCGTGGATTTTCAAAATTTTCGTAAATTTAATGATGATCGAACTTTGATGGAGACAAATATTTGAAATTTTGATCATTCATAAACCTTCCCTGTGGTCACGTGATGTCCCACAAAAAATTTGGGCCCGATCGGTTCTGCCGTTTTGACGTTTATTGGATACAAACAGACAGACAAACAAACAAACGCCCAAACAAACAAACAGACAGACAAGCCAAATTTATATATAGATGAAAACTTTAATTTTTGAAAAATGGTCACAAATAATTTGAACCGAAATCTACTTTATTTTTAACACATATACATTTAGATTACACTTAACTATTAGAAAAATTTGAAACTGAGTCTTCTTTTCCCAAAATATATTATTGGTTGTATTCATCCAGCTTTGCAGTGAGGGAATTGTTTTTTGATATTATTCCTGTTTAGTCATATTATATTCAAGAATTTAATGAATAAGATATCCATATTTCTCTTCTTTACATTTAATTATTTCATTGAAGATATCTTGAAATATGTTGTCAATTTAGTTCTTTTTCTCTTTCACATAAATTAATTGGTGAATTACCTAAAATTTTGTTTAAAATAAATTTAAACAAAAAATTTGAATCTAGGAATCAAACAATAAAGAAAAGCAAATATTTGAATTAAGTTGAAAATTCATATTTAATATTTAGTGTCTGAATATTCCTATTGAGAAGTAAGCGGTGATAAAGGATAAATATCCCAGTAGAATGCCCTTTTTCAATATCCAAGATATAATTCCGATCTTTCTTCTGTTCAACACTTCTTCTCCGGAAATACTAGAAGTATAAAAACGTAAAGTTATTTAATAGAAAATTATCAATTTAATTATCAAAGACAGTTATGAAAGGGATTAACGTAACCTTCAATTTAATTTAAATTTACAATGCTACAGTAAACCCACCATATCCCTAGTATATAAATCCGGACACGAAGAAAAGAATGAGATATTAACCGTTATAGATGGATAGTTCTTTGGAAAATAACCCGGAGTCAACAACAAATCGAACCCTTCCTTATCATGTATAAATGCCGGAGATAGGAGTAACAGGACTATTCTGTCGGCAGAGAAAGCCTAAAACAATATTGGCGGCCATTTTATGCCCGAGATAATCTTCAGTCTTCATCAAGCAGTAAAAGGAGGAGGGTCGACAAGGATCTAGTTCACCATTCCGGGGGACATCTTCATTGATTATTTAAGGATTAACTTCGCTTAATCCTACAGTTTGTATAAAGTAATTAATGTAAAAATAAATGTGTGTACAAATGTTGCGTCATTAATCTATTCAATCTTGGCTTGCTTATATTAATGATTTCTTTATTAATTTCTCATTCAAAGTTTACGTACTACCCTTTTATCAGATCAGTAATGTCTTTGAAAGATATAATTTCTCTTAATTTGTCTGTTTCCCTTCTTGTCTGGTGCATAACTATACGCAAGTTGCTTTATGACAAACACAATTGAGAATAATTAATTTATAGAAAAACAGGAAAAACATCTACAGTTTTGCTCAGACAAAGTTTTTTTAAGAGTGCTATTATAAAAGGACAGTTACTTGAAATTACCATGGCAGGACTCTTTTAATTTCTACTTCGACTTCGATTAATATTTGAAGCAATTGTAAATAGGGATGTTAACGTTTTCATTTTTTGAAAAACGATCGTTTCGTTATGAAAACGATGACGAAAAATCGAAAACGAAAAGGTCGTTCTTTAAAAATGGTCGTTTTTTAAATGATCGTTTTAAAAACAATCGTTTTTAAAAACAAACGTTTTTCAAACCGATCCTTTTTTAAAAACTCGTTGTTTCGTTAACGATCGTTAACGACGACCCTTCGTTGACGAACATTAACAACTACCCTTAGTTAACGATCGTTAACGAAGAAAGGAAACCGACCTAAAGGGCATCTGTACTTATCATTGAGTAGTTTTTAAGAAAATATCAAGAAGTTGTAGCTTCCCCACAACTGTTTTACTTAATGTAAGACGACATTCAATAAAGTTGCATGTAATTTTTTTTCATAAACGATCGTTTTTCCAAAAACGTCCGTTTTTATAAAGTTCGTCGTTTCGTTAACGATCGTTAACGACAACCCTTCATTAACTACCGTTAAAGACGACCCTTCATAAACGAACGTTAATGACGACCGTTTGTTAACGATCGTTAACATAATTGTCAATAATTTTTTTTTCAAAAACGATGTTTTTTTCAATAAAGATCGTTTTTTAAATAACAATCGTATAAAAAACGGTCGCAAATCGATTTAATGACAAATTACCTCTCACTTAGTTCTCCTGCTTGGCCTGCATTTTCATCGTTTACACAAGGCTTTACTCTGATCTTAAAACTTAGGTTATCAAAACTTATCAAAAACTCTAAAAAAATTACAAGATATGTAAATCCAAACTGGTTACATCTTTTTGTGAGAAAATTCCCTAACATGTAAAACAAAAACAGTGTTTAGAACTTTTGTGTGCAGGGCACTTTAAAATTTGATATGCCGCTTAAAGTTATTGCTACAGGGTATGATAACCAAGTGAAATCGAGGAGGAATCAAATTAATAAAAAAAAACTTAGCTCTTTGATCGCTGGGAATATTTGTGTGGAGTTTCCTTACTCTTGAACGCTTAATCTCGATATCCAATAGGGGCACTTTTAAATGTGAAGATCAATGCATTAATTTTAGTTGTCCCTTAAAGGGAATGTTCGCGAAAAATGAAAGGGGGTATAGGCTTACGGCGAAAAATAAGCACTTTTGATCTCAACTAATCTTACTTCTATCTGTTGCTTCTATAAGGAGAAAATTGTTAAAAACAACTTATACTCAAGAACGAAGTGTCCATACAAATTCAGAAAGTTGCAACATTCGACTCGGATCGTAAAATGATCAATTTAATTCCAAACAAATCATTCAGGCATTACAACTTTACACCCTTTCATTATTTTTAGCGAACACTCCCTTTAAGGGTGTGACCAACACGGGATATTAAATAGAAGTTAAGCTAATCCGTAGTTCTGCATAAGATGGAGATAAATGCTTGAAACCGAGATAATCCGTAGTTCTGCATAAGATGGAGATAAATGCTTGAAACCGAGATAATCCGTAGTTCTGTATAAGATGAAGATAAATGCTTGATACCGAGATAATCCGTAGTTCTGTATAAGATGAAGATAAATGCTTGAAACCGAGATTCAAACCTGAAAGTTCTGACAACATTTTTCAATGTACCGAATAGACGCGGGGACAAAATTGTCATAAAACCCTTATCAAAAATAATCTTAAAAATACTTTTTAAAAACAGAGATAACCGTTGAGGTTTGACTTATCAACTGAAATTTTTAAAACCAAATTGTATCGTTTTAATGCAGTATCAGACAACTCAGAAATAGGAAGACGACTTTTTGAAACTTAGACTCAATGACTTATAATAGTCTAATGAGCATGAGACACACTAATTGTGCAAGTTTAAACAGGCCCATTAAACTTAATTATCGATTTATTATAGTAAGTTACTAATGCAATTATTACATTACATCAAATATACTTAAGTTTTGCTATATTGTCGCCTTTCTATTCCACAGATCATCATTGTAGCAATGATTTTAAGAAAAGATGATTTAGCTGTTTTTTTTTACCCCCATTTCCTTGTATACCTCATTTCATGGAATTACCACATTTATGGAATTATATCATTCCATGGAATTACCTCATTTCATAGAATTACCTCAGTGCATGGAACTACCCCAGTTCATGGAATTACCTCATTTCATGGAACTACCCCAGTTCATGGAATTACCTCATTTCATGGAATTACCTCATTTCATGAAATTACCTCATTTCATGAAATTACCTCATTTCAAGGAATTACCTCATTTCAAGGAATTACCTCATTTCATGGAATTACCTCATTTCATGGAATTACCTCATTTCATGGAATTACATCATTTCATGGAATTACCTCATTTCATGGACTTACCTCATTTTATCTAATTACCTCATTTCATGAAATTACCGCAGTTCATGGCATTAGCTCTAATCAGGGAATTACCTTATTTCATTGAATTAACGCAGTTCATGGAATTATATCATTTCATGGAATTTCCCCTTTTCATGAAATTACCACAGTTCGTGGAATTACCTCATTTCAAGGAACTACATCATTTCATGGAATTGCCTCATTTCATGAAATGACAGCATTTCATGGAATTATATCAGTTCATGGAATTATATCAGTTCATGGAATTATATCAGTTCATGGAATTACCTCATTTCATGGAATTACCCCATTTCATGGAATTATATCATTTCATGGAATTATGTCATTTCATGGAATTATATCATTTCATGGAATTAACGCAGTTCATGGAATTACATCATTTCATGGAATTACATCATTTCATGGAATTACCTCAGTTCACGGAATTACTGCAGTTCATGGAATTTCCTCACTTCATGGAATTACCTCATTGGTTTTTAATTTTTGCCTGATTGCCTTCCGTAAACAAAATGCATAGGTTTGGAGAAGAACTTCCAAGAAAGGCATCATCACACTGAATATTATCGGTCATCAATTTTTTTAAGTTTAAAAGTAGAACTGTAAAAATGTTTAAAAACTGTTAATTCTTAACAATCAATTTCTTTGATAAAATACAAATTTGTCAAATAGAATTAAAATGAAATTTGTGTTCATTAATATTGATGTTTTGTCTTTTACTACTATGTCAACTGGCCTGAATATTGTTCGGGGAAAAATTTGAAAATAAAATAAATTTGTTGTTTAACATTCATGTTTTTTCCAAAGAATCAGTTTTGTCAATTACTGCTATATCAACTGGCCTAAATATTGTATGGTAAACAGTTAAGGCAACTTTTAAAATTTTAGTAATTACAATGTTTACCTCACAATCATCCAAAGTTGTATCATAATATAACTTGTTGTATTTGAATATTCCTTCCCTATTTCAACCAACCTAAACCATGGAGATGTAAAAATGTGAATTTAAAATTTTTCTTAACGTTAAATTTAATTTTAAAACATTTTAGAAATGTGATTCCAAAATTTAAAGTGTTGGAGTTGACATAAAGTAGGAAAACAATTCAAACATTTTGGGGAAATTTTGCTTACATTTATTTTACTGGAGTACACACATTTCTTTAACAAAGTGCCAAGTAAATAACCCCTTACAGATGGATTAGTTAGTCTTTATGGGCTTTCCTGATAAGTAAGGCATATTTTGACATAATATCTTATAAATATCTTATGTTTGTAGGGAGTGGCTAGATTATTAAATTTGAGGCCAATTATTTTCCCAGCCACTTATTTAACAACTATAACATGTCAGCAGTAATGTTCCAAAATGTATGATAATCCGTCTTCAAGGTGCTATAATTTTTTATCAAAAATACTTTTACAGAATATATTTATCAAATCTCAGAATAAGAAAATAATTGGAAACCTTATTAAAAACACAATAAAGCTTGATGGCAGCTGTACTGCCTGCAATATAAAGTTATTCATGCTAAATCATAAAAAAAACTTACATTGTGACAATAACCAGAACAATGGTTAGATTGACCCCTAAAGCTGCTTCAAAAGCATCTTCTTCAAAGAAGATAGTTAGATATCCTATTGCATTTGCCACCATGGTTGGTAACATGGTTCTTACAATAAACTCAGATAATTGCCTTCCAAACACAAAATCTATTTTTATGGCATGATCTGACATATACATCTTCCGACTGTAGATTTGCACATTTTATCATGAAGACAAAATAGTTATTTAATTATAGTTTTTAACACAAAAAAAAATATTTAATTAAAATTATTAGATCTTGGAACTTTTGTGTGGAGCATCCTTGAACCCTTGATCTCTAAATCCAGTGTGTGCACTTTAAAACTTTAGGAATCAATGCTTGATCCCTCCATTTCAGTTTTTCCTGCAGGGTATGACCAACATGGCTTAACTAATATGAATTGAATTAACTCATAGGTCTGCTTCAGATGGAAATTAATGATTAATGCTTGATCCATAGATTCACAACACAAAAATTCTGACTCGAGAACTTAATATACAAAATATTTTGATGTAGAACTTTGCGATCATCAGACAAGACATGTATTTTATCTTCTAGCGTGATCTTTAATTATTAGAAAAAAATTTAAAACAAAACATTAATTCTGAAAATTCAAAATGTGTTCCTGAATATTATATACTGGTTCACAGTATTAGATCCATGATTAATCAGCATTGAAGGATTCAATCTATAAAAACTTTAATTTATTTGATATTAAACAAAAAATTATTCATTTTATCTATAGGTTAAATAGTAAATTGTATTAGGTACCTTACTGAGATTTTCTGTTTGTTTATTAAACTGAAGTGGACTGAGCAGGTTTGAATATCGAATGGGGACATGGTCATATCAAAGTTGCAGACAAAGGTCATACTGAACAATTATTTGTTTAAATAACTTTAAGTTTAAATAATATATCTGCATGAAAAATACCTTGTCAACCTGTGTTGGATGAGATTAAATGAATCACTGTTGTAAACTCTTTCATTGTAAACATGATCAAGATCAAGAGTTGTATAATTCAATTTTATCCTTTCAACACAAACCACTTCAGCTTCATTTTCTTCCCGTTGGTAAATGTTGATATCGTTAAAGTATAGTTGAGGTCTCCAAATGGATTCAACTTCATTAGTGTCTAACAAATTATGGTACGAGTCTTCTTGCAAGTTTTTAAAGATAAGATTTGAATCAATCCATTTTAAGATTATGACCATTTTAACTTTTATTTCTTTGTTTACTTCATTTATGTTCAGAATGTCAACTACCTCAACGGTAACATTTATTTGCAAATGCTGATCATCTACAGTAGAATTTGAATGTTTTGGCTTTGGTGGTAGATGCTTATTGTATGCAATCTTTTTGTGCAAAATGTGGCACTTGAGTTCATCAGACCCATCTGAACAATCAGCTTCCTGATTGCAGCGTTTTTCAAGAGAAATGCAAAACCCGTCAGAACAAGTGAATTCCTTGCTAGAACAACTAGAGAAACTTACATAATATTCCTCTTCTTTACATATATTATTTTTGATAGGTATCCACTCACTTTTTCCAAACAGATAAGTTTCTGCACTTGTTTTTATCAGTGCTTTGCTGTCATCATTGATGTTAGCTACAATCCATGCTTTTTTATCTGGTCTATACGCAATAATGGTTCCAGTAATACCAACGTACATAAATTGACCCCGACCCATGATAGGTTTGTATGTCTTGTCAAATGAACTGTCACCACAAAATCCTCTAAAGCAAAGTTGGTTATAGGAAAGCTAAGAGAGTGTAAAAATAAATACCTTAGTTTGAATGTAGAATTGGCAATGATTTTGACAAAAGATGAAGCTTTTGCAGTGAGCGGGCAAGCATAGGCATGGGAATCAAAACAAAGACATCTTTTGTGATATTTAGTATCAGCAGGATGTCCAGGCCACCAATTGATAGGTTCCAGCAGAATATCTTGTGTATAAATATTGTAAAAAGATTTAGTACCATTTGTTTCTATATATGGGGAAAATGTAGTATTGACTCCTGTTAAAAGAAGTTGATCTTTAAGCTGATATGTGTCTATGTATAGCATTTTTCCATTTCCAAATTTCTTTAAAAGATTTATGGTGCTTTCAAAATCTAAAGGATATTGGGCCACTAGACTGGAAACCTCTCCACAAATATCATCGAGATTTACTTCTTGTAGCTTTATGAGTTCTGGTAGATCTGATTCTATAGCCCAGTCAGATGCATTCCAGGCATACAAATCACCTAGGTCCTTGCATTTATCAAGTGTATCTGTATTGTAAACATTCAGATTTCCAAATTTGCCAGGGAATGTCCAACTTTTAACTTTAAACAAATACTCCTGAAGTGCAAGTAAAAATACAAAAGACCAAATTACAAAATTTTAAAATCAAAATCAAATATTTAGCTTGCATATACAATTTTGCCTAAACCCAGAAAAGTCTCCTTTCAAGAATCAAGGCAATAACATGTGTAAACTAATGATAAACTATTGTTAATTTATCAGTTTTTTCCCAGGTAAATTTAATTCTTTTAAAGAATTTCTGTTGTAATCTAAATTTATTAATTCAATTTAAGAGAGTCATAGTTACTTAACTGCCCTTTTATAAAAACCCCTTCTTTGCACAGTGCAATGGACGAAATGTAACATTGTGCCAAAGTATACTCTTGACTCTGACCATTTTAATGCTTTCAGGAGACAACTCATGACTTTAGAGAATAATAATGATATAGCACAAGAGGGATACATTGTAATATATAGTCATTAAATTGAAACTACAGCGGAAGGTAGGTCTGCAGGCACATTTTTTAAATAGTTGGTTCCACATTCATTAATGAAGGCCTTCAACAGTATCATTTGTTCATTGTTCCTTATTTTCAGAATGCTTCTATTCCAATCATTTTTGATAAGTTTTTAAAATTTATGATCATCTCAGTTATTCCAAAAAAATTTCAACTGTCCCTACTTTGTTATAATAATAAAGTTTAATTTTGTATCTTTTCCTTTAAAGGTTGTGGATACACCCTGATGTATGTTTGGTTATAGTTTAGCTGTGGTACATAGACCATATGTTCTCCTAGAACCACCTGAATTTAATAAATTTGAGCTGGGTGGCTGAACTAGCTACCGCCATTTCAAATACCTAGTGTGGCGGACAAGTCGTCTAACTCACCACAATGTCGTCAGTAGAGTTTCCTAGTTTTTATCACATTTCATTTAACAATGTGCAACTTTTGTCAGATAAAAAGATATTGAATATGTTTTCAGTACATTTAGACTCTAGTTATTGCGTTATCAATAGCTCAAACTAGCTCAAATTGATTAAATCTAGTCCCTGTCATAGTATTTATATGCTCACACAGGGTTATCCATAGGGGAGGAACTACATAACCAATACTGGAGCTATAGATCTTACCACTAAAACAGTGTTAGTTACTTTCCTAAAGGGAGTGGGAGTGAGTGAGTGTGTGAGCGTTTTTACTCTTTCCGAGTTTTTAAAATCTTGGCATGACAACAATATAAAACATCAAAAAAGTAAAAAATTATTTTGTGATAAAAAACTCGCAGAGTAGGATTTTATTTTACATTGGCCCAAGGACAGAAATAAGTAACTTAATATCCCGCTCTTAGGAAATCATGGGTTGGAAATATTGGTCAAAAGACTTTAAAACTACTAACCTTTCGGAATTAGGTAAAGTTAAATACATTGAACATTGACTAATTGTACAATATGCCAAAGCAAACCCTGTTGAAAAATCTCCAGGTCTAATAGTTTCAAATATTGTTTCCTTTTTTGATCCATAGGCAAACACTGAGTAGCACATAACAAATTTTTCATCCACCAAGAATGGCAATTTCAATTTGGGAAGTTTAACCTCTTCTAATGAAATATCCTTTCAAAAAGTTTTGGTTTGCAAATTTGGAAGGTAATCTGACATGTTCTATTTTTTGTTGGTTTATCTAAAGAGATCTGTATTTTAAACATCATGCATTATAGCATCCAGCATAAATAAATCAAAAATGAAACTTAAATAATACAAGCGTAAAATAGCAAATAATAATTATCTCAAATATTTCTAAAACCTGATTTGTATATTTTTCATTTCTTTACAGAAAAGTTAAATGTTTTTTTAAAAATGTGACATTTCACCCTTTGAAGTTGTTGAGTTGTCTTGATCTAATGCTCTTTTTATCAGTAAATCTTGGTAATCAAGAACCACTACAGAAGAACTTGAGATTGAAGGTGATGCAACCAAAACAAGAAAGAACGTGCAAAACATTTTTTTATCGATTAATCCATTCAAAGCTTTTTTTTTGAATAAAGATGTTTCTAAAAATACATGGATGTTTTTCTTAAAGAATTGATTACCTGTCACAAACTATTATTTTCTAAGCCTGATCCACATGCCAAAAAATGAAATAGCAAACTAAGAGTTTATAACATAAAGGTTTACGCCATCAGATTAGTGGTTTCAGAGATGAAATTAATAGAAAATGAAATTGAGTTTGTAGCTAGTAATAAATTCCTTAAAAAGTGTTTTTTTTTATAATTTATCTCTTTTTATAGTCAATTTTTCTTGAAACTTCCTTCTGATATGAAAACGAATTAGCAACGTCACTTTTCTAAAAAAAGGGCTCAGAAAACTTCTGGAGGTTTGCAAATTACAAATCCTTAAAGATTAAGCCCACAAATGACTAAAAAATGTCCGTTTATAGACAAGACCCTTTAGACTATGAGTCTAAGTTCAAGACTAAATTTTTATGGTATGTCGCAGTTGTCTGACCTATTATTTACTTAGAAAGCAAAGCTTAAAGAGAAAATTTTTTTTTGTAACTAAAAATTTTCAGATTTATACTTCACAACAATAATCCAAAATTTGTAATTCTTTCATTTGAATATTAGGAAAAATTGGAAACCCTGGTAAAAATATAAAATATAACATTTTTCATTATTAAAATAGGGGTTTACTCCTTCCCTCCTTGAACAAGCAAAAATAGTTTGTTCAAGGAGGAATGAATTTTCTGTTTACACTTTGTTTAATAAAAGTCACTGGATTGTGACTGCAGGCATTATCTTTATTGAAATTAATTGCATTGCAATATTGCAATCAAAAATTTCAGTATCTTTCTTGTACATTTCTGATAAATTTCGGTAAAATTTCATTAAACATCTTTAAATTTTTTCTTGGTTTTTTATCTAAGTTTTTGTACTCGTAAGTTTTCAGTTGTTCTTAAATGGTTGTTAGATTTAAATTAAGCAATATATTAACTTAAGGGAAGTCTTAAATATTTTTTTTTTTGCCTATCAATTTTTCTGACAAAAGATGGTTCTATGAAAATTGTATGGGCAATTTTAATTTGTGTCTTTTGCAATATTTGTGTAGATCTAGATGAGGAGAGCAGTTTATAGATTTCTAAAAAAAGTAAAAAGTTGATCATTCTTAGATGATTGTTTTTTACTTTACATTCTGTTTTCAAACATCTAAAATATTTTTTTTTCCATCTTCAAAATTTCACCAAGAGGACATTGCTTGTGAAATTGTGGAAAATAAAAATGAATACGACATTATAAAAAACTCTTTCTATATATCTAGGATTCACTGTTTCATCTTTTTATTTTATGAAATTAAAAAGCTTAAATTTTAATTAAAATTCAAAAATAAATGAAAAAAAAGTTATACGCAAAGATATTTTGCTTTTAAACTTTTATTTAGTTTTTCAAATATTGAATTTACAGGATAATGCATCCAGGAGTATTGAAAGGAGGTTTAAGGAAGTGCATCCAGGAGTGTTGAAAGGAGGTTTAAGGAGTGCATCCAGGTGTGCTGAAAGGAAGTTTAATGAGTGCATCCAGGAGTGTTCAAAGGAAGTTTAAGGAGTGCATCCAGGAGTGTTGAAAGGAAGTTTAAGGAGTGCATCCAGGAGTGTTGAAAGGAGGTTTAAGGAGTGCATCCAGGTGTGCTGAAAGGAAGTTTAATGAGTGCATCCAGGAGTGTTGAAAGGAGGTGTAAGAAGTTCATCCAGGAGTGATGAAAGAAGGTTTAAGGAGTGCATCCAGGTGTGCTGAAAGGAAGTTTAATGAGTGCATCCAGGAGTGTTGAATGGAGGTTTAAGAAGTTCAGCCAGGAGTGTTGAAAGGAGGTTTAAGGAGTGCATCCAGAAGTGTTGAAAGGAGGTTTAAGAAGTTCATCCAGAAGTGATGAAAGGAGGTTTAAGGAGTGCATCCCGGAGTGTTGAAAGGCCAATCACAATTGTTCACATTTTCATTGAACACAAGACCAGTCTAAAAAAAAGTTTTTATTATTAATAGTTTCTTTTATCAATAATTATACTCAGTAAGGAAACTTATAACTGATAACTTTAATTTTCTAATCCCTATATATTTGCGTAAAGGTGTTTCAACCCTGATATAGTAAAATTAATAGTTTAAAATCTACAAAAAAGGAATTAGAATGTTAAAATATGAGACGAGTAAACAGTTTCTTTAGATAAAACCCAATTTATAAATTATTTAAATGAAAATTGTCAAAATAATCAACCAATCTGTAAACCCAAAATAATCAACCAATCTGTAAACCCAAAATAATCAACCAATCTGTAAACCCAAAATAATCAACCAATCTGTAAACCCAAAAATCAAAAAAAAAGATATTTTAGATACAAACTATCTAATAAATTTATAGATGTAAAACTACATAAATATTTATTATGAATTAGTGAATTCATTAATCTATCCATTAGATTTTTATTTTTTACAAATCAATTCATGAATTATTTTTAACGATCATTTAAAAGAGATGTATTTACAAGTTTACTTCCATAAAAGAATGGCGCAAAGTATCTTGCAGACAATGCTCACAAAACAAAACTTTTAGAATTAAACCCTTTTCAAACTAAAAAATCAGCAACATCTTCTAATTATTGATCAAAATTGATTTGAAATTTCGCTTTAATCTCAAAATTGAAAATTTTAATTTTTTTGGCACTAAGCTTAATGTTTCAAATTATTAAGAAAATTTCTAATATTTTGTCTGTAAAATTGAATTCAAAGATGAGCCCCTTGTCTGTCATTTGTCTGTCATTTGTCTGCGACATTTGGATCTGTAATCTTAATAAAATCTTTCAAAATAATTATCATTTATATAGATCATAAAATATAGATCATAGAATCAAGGTTGTACAATAAGGTTACTTATTCTTGATGAACTCCAATGTCGTCTCCTTAACATAGATAAATAGAATCCACATATGACGTCACTGATTATAGTGGCAAGAGGCGGATTATATCTATCTATCCTATGGATACACCATTTTTCGATCATCGAGAGTAAGCAACCTTATTATACAAACAACCTTGGTTAATTGACTAGTTTTATCGAGAAAAAAAATAAAGATTTAAACATATTCTGAACCTCGCAATGGAGCAGGTATGCTATTTCGTGACCCCTAGATAAATAGAAAAACTTGTTAACATCGATTCAATAGAGCCCAGATCATCCCAATATAACTGGCGTCTTTAAGACGTACTTTGTGTGTCTCCATACGTTCAGTTATGTTTGTATACGCTTTATATTGATATAGTTCTATCTTAGGATATAGGTCACGTGGATTTAACGGTTCTGTCAAAATTCCAGAAAGCTGTGGATTGCGATCACAATTTGTTCTATTAAACATTATTTTTAAAGCTTTTTTTCAAATATTTTTTTTGGAAGGCATATATATCTTGAATGAAAAGTATAAAACAAACAAAGCTGTAAGTTTGATTGTAATTACAGACCAAAACGCATCAGATTTTAAAATGAAGAAACCGAACTTTGGTTAGTCCTGGGGTGGGGTGTTAGCAAATATACTAATTTTACTATGATTTTCATTTTATTTTGGCGATTGGGGTCGTGTCTTGTTTCACCGTACTTAGAACGGACACAGATTGAGACGTTGTTAGTTAATAAAAAGTTTGATGAAACGATCTGTGCTCCGCGCGGTGGAATCTTCCATGGAAGATTTAAAGGGAATAAAAAATCAATCATTCCTTACATGGCTTTAGGCTCTATTTTTATTTCTCCCCTTGCAGTTTTGATCTCTGGAAATTGATTTTTTTTCGGTTCATTTTAGTTTACTCTTAAAGCTAGGAAATACATCATTTTGATTTATATAAATAATATAGTAACTCCAATGAAAATATGGGGGTCTCCAATAAAAATAGGGGGTCTCCAATAAAAATATGGGGTCTCCAATAAAAATATTGGTACTCCAATGAAAATATGGGGTCTCCAATGAAAATATTAGGACTCTAATAAAAATATGGGGACTCCAATGAAAATATTGGGACTCCAATGAAAATATGGGGACTCCAATAAAAATATGGGGACTAAAATGAAAATGTGGGGACTCCAATGAAAATATAGTGACTCCAATNATGGAAGATTTAAAGGGAATAAAAAATCAATCATTCCTTACATGGCTTTAGGCTCTATTTTTATTTCTCCCCTTGCAGTTTTGATCTCTGGAAATTGATTTTTTTCTCGGTTCATTTACTCATAAAGTTTCCTATGACCAGAATATTTCATAGATTATTTTTGTGAAAATGGATTCCATGTCAGGCTGAGACATCCGTCTTGTGTTTACTGTTGATTTTTTCCAATAAAAATATATGGACTCCAATGAAAATATGGGGACTCCAATGAAAATATGGGGACTCCAATGAAAATATGGGGGTCTCCAATGAAAATATGGGGGTCTCCAATAAAAATATGGGGACTCCAATAAAAATATGGGGACTCCAATGGAAATATGGGGACTCCAATAAAAATTTGGGGACTCCAATGCAAATATTGAGGACTCCAATAAAAATATGGGGACTCCAATGCAAATATGGGGACTCCAATAAAAATATGGGGACTCCAATGCAAATATGGGGACTCCAGTGAAAATATTGGGACTCCAATGAAAATATGGGGGTCTCCAATGAAAATATGGGGACTCCAATGAAAATATGGGGACTCCAATGAAAATATGGGGGCTCCAATAAAAATATGGGGGACTCCAATAAAAATATTAGGACTCTAATAAAAATATGGGGACTCCAATGAAAATATGTGGACTCCAATGAAAATATTGGATCTCCAATGAAAATATGGGGGTCTCCAACGAGCCGTCCAATGAAAAGGAGTCTCTAAAGTACTCCAATAATACTCCATTAGTACTCAGATGATTATGATTTCATTCCAGACTTGTTAAAGGTAGGAAACAAAATGAAAATTCAGGATTTTCAAATAATAAACTCAACATTTTTTTTTTTAAATTCGTTTTTAAATTTAAAGGGACTGTGTACGTAGTTTGTATTGTGGCATCTCAGATGCACAACGGTACCCTTAAAAGCTTTCTAAGATCAAGATTGTATGAGATATCCATGTTTTTAACTTTACAAAATGTGTTATTTACAATTGTAGGTTTTCTATAAAAGTCCTTTATTAAATGTGTAAACTATAAAGTTTTTTTCTATTTCCTTTTGATCCTGGAGCTCCAGTAGATTTAGAGCAAACCACTTAACAATTTTTATTTTTGTTATTAACAACAAAGGAATTGAGTCTTTGCCACAAACTCTGATTTTATAATCCCTATATCTTTGGAACCCAATGTTGTAAATCTTTGATATTTCAAACTTGTAGTATTTGATCTAACAGAATTCATAGTTTGAAATATCTAAGGTCTACGACATTGGAATCTAAAGATATAGGATTTAGAAAAGCAGAGTTTGTGACAAAGACACAATTCCTGTTATTTTAAATATGCAGTTCACCACAAACTAAAGTAAATCCCACGGTAGGATAAAATCTGCTATTTTTATATCATAACTACTCCTGGTCCGTCCTAGTATACGATTTTTGGTATTTAGTTTCCACACAATTCCTTAACTATTAGAATTATACGGTTAATGTTCAAATTGAGTCATTCTTAAGTACAATTCAAAGATAATAATAAAATCGGGGGTGGCAAAAATCGTATTCTAGGAAATTACCATAACTCCTCTTATTCAAGAATAAAACCTAGAAGATTAAAAGTGTTTTGAATTTCTTATATATAAATAGATAAATTTGCTTTTCTCATATATGTGCGTAAAATAAACTTTAGAGGAGCTACGAGGTCACAAAGCCAAATCTGTAAAGTCACAAAAAATAGACCTTCACCTATTGACTTTTTCGGAATATGTAAACAAATATTAGTTTATTTTAAAATGATTTCTTATAAAAATAAATTCCTGATATTGCCAGGGCAAGGAAAAAGCAGGATCGAAGCATCTACAGAAATAGCACAAAACAATTATTTGTCTAGCTAAGCCCTAAGTGGTCGCCAAAATTAAGTGGAATCAAGGTACTAATGCAAGGAAAGTTAATTGCGGTCGCGTTATATTGAAACCAGTTCTCTCTGGGCGGACTTTGTAAACAAGAATAGATGCATCAGTGTTTAAAGATTTGATAAAGTTTAATGAATTGTGTATTCCTTAAGCAAATTATCTATTGATACTGGTGGAATTTTTTTGATAAAATTCTATTAGATGACGCACTGTTTAAGATATTATGCTCTTATCTTAGGATTAAAAGTGTATGATGCATTTCAGGTTTAAATAAACATATAACTACAAAAGATCAGAAATTACATTAAATTATTTTCATTCATGATAAAATTAAAAGGCATTGAACGTTTGAGTTTAAAAGCTATAACTCCGTTTAAGAATATTAGGGACCATCACTTCACATTCAAAGGAATTGAGTCTTTGACACAAACTCATATTTTCTAATCCCTAACATCCTTCTCGTGTAAACTTTTTAATGTTTCAAACTTTAATTATTTGATCTAACAAAATTCATAGCTTTAACTATCTAAGGAATACGACATTGGATTACAAAGATAGATTAGAAAGTTAGAGTTTGTGACAAAAAACATTATTTCTTTGTCCCAGCCCTGCAGCCATTCTCTTTACTGTACATTGAACTACATTGTAATATATTTTACATTGTACTACATTGTACAGTTTTGGATAATAATTACATGTCTGGGTACAAGTTTAAAATTGGCTTGTATACTGACTGAGTTTTCTTTCAAAATAAAGTTAATTTCATTTAGTTTTAAATCTTAAAATGCCAATTTCTGGCAGAAATATTGAAAAGAATTGTAATTATAAAAAGAAGTTTTACTTTTTCTCACTTATAGGCGTAAATTGAAAACTTTAGAGGAGTTACGTGGTTTCAAAGTTATAACAGTAATATTAAAATTTTAGTATATGAAATCTTATGAAATCCTGCTGGGTTCATTGGAGACCCCGTACTTTCGTCTACAACGAAAATGTGGGGGTCTCCAACTTGAATCTGGGGGTCTCCAGCGAAATATGAGGTCTCCAATAAAGCTAGGCGGTATCCCAATCAACAGTTTCACTCTTTGATCGAAGAGTTTGGATTGCAACCTAAGCTGAAGCATAAGGATAAGGTTTTTTATCTTTTTTCCGTATTGTTTAAAGAGTTTAATATGGTATAATAAAATAAAAGGAACATATCTAAATTAAGAAATAGAAATGTTTGACAAGAAAAAATACATTGCTTATTTGGCAGCAAAAAATTGAATGACAGCTAAGTTGCAGCGTTTTTGTTGAATATAAGCAAGTTTTTGCCGCTTATTTATTGCTAACTTTTGTTGACAAATAAGCAATCGAGATGAAGAGTGAAGATATTTTTGTTTTTAACATTATATATCGTAAAAAAAGATAAAAATCATATATACATTTTATATACATATACTATTAGGACATTTTTAAAACGAATTGGTTATTCTAAATCCCTATATCAATGATAAATATCAAAGATTCTGAAAAAGTTTATTCGTGATTTTGTTTGCCCTAGTAATCTCATTTTTGACACCTTCAAATATTTTCACCTTTAGTATTTTATAGGATTTCTTATAAAAATAATTTTTATAGTAGAGAGATAAGCATAAATTACTAAAGTTACAGATACTTTTTTTATTGAACAGTGTTATATGTTTTTAAGAATGATGAAATCATGAAGTTTATTGAATATATAGATATATATTACATAAATCACTAAAGTTTAAAAAAATGTTTTTAATTAAACTGCAGTGTTATACATTTTATAAGATAAAGCATATTTATGTTAAAGAGGGCATCTTTTATAAAACCACAAAGTGTAGATAGAATACAATTATAGTTTAAAGTTTAAACTTAGGTTAAAATTGCAAGAATTAATTACGTAAAATGGAAATTACATTCAGTTTTCAAGTGCTTAGAAAATATATAAATCCATTTAAAATATTTAAATAATTGGTCACAAAAATGCATCTTAATTTATTTAAAATTAGTTTTTCGATTAAGCTTAAGCTTTTTTACATTAAGCATTTAGTTTCCACACAATTCCTTAACTATTAGAATTATACGGTTAATGTTCAAATTGAGTCATTCTTAAGTACAATTCAAAGATAATAATAAAATGATGATAATATGATAATGTTGTTGATTTATCACTTTGTTTATCGTGATAAAATACAATCAATGCAAATAAAACAAATGTCTAAGAATATCTAGAAGATTGACTAGACAGAGTTATAATTTGTACAGGGTTACCCACAAAGGATGAGAATGTGAAGATAATCTAAAACTCATAAAATATGACGATTACAAGGTTTAACTAAGTCTTCTGTCTTGAATATTGTCTATTATTGCCTATTTATTGACATGGCAACAAAAAAAAACCGTTTACAGTTGCAGATAATACTAAATATAAGGAAATAGACAGTATACATTCTGTACAGTCGTCACTGAAGTCTTATCCTTTGTGGGTAACCCTTAACATCAAGTGTTTTCTTCTGATAAAAATAAATGTGCTCTTTTATGTTTTTAAAAGTATTCAATCTTTTGGCTGTTTATGAATGAATAAAGAAATTAAGTTAAGGTAGCCGTTAGTTTTAAAAGTATAAGAACAGAACATTCCTTTCGTTGAAGGTATTTTACGATTTTTATAAATAAATTACCAGTGGTTAAAGATCTCAATTCTATTAACGGCCTTACCAGTTGTTTTTTGCAATTACCTATTAAGGACTAACAAGTAGCGCAAAACATTCTCATTAACGGTTGTTCGTTTTTCCCTTCGTCATGGTTCTCTCTTTACCTAGTTAAACTCAAACCTGGAAGACGAATGAGCGGAGAACCTCAGAGAACCTGGCGGATCCTATAGCTTCATCACTCAGCAGATAATAACGGTAAAAAAATATATTTCCATAAGTCCCCGAGAAGACTGGCAGATTTCCTTCTTTATCAATGAATTTTTAACCTTCTATATACAGAGAGCAGGAGCGTGGACACGGATCATTTTGGATTGTTAAGGTTGAAACCCTATTGCACCAAAACTAATGTACATGCTATTGGAATACAATTCTAACAAAATTCAAACGTTGAGTACACAATGTCAGTTGTCTAAGTTCAAAGATTTTCTTTTCATCCTTTACCCTTTAATTTAATAATTCGGATATAAAACTTTGCTACTGCAAGCAAGAACTAAATGCCATTTTTTAAAAAAAATTTATGTCCGTAAGATTAATTAAAGAATATAGAAATAAAAACCCACAGTAAAATCGAGTCCCTATAATTAAAATGTCTTAATTAATAAATCTTTATCGATATTATTCATCTTTAAATTATGAGGACTCTGGTTTAAAATCTGAATCTTTCATCTTACCCTGAATCTTCTCTCATAATAAACTAATGATCTTTTTTTTACTGATTTAGTCTGAGTAAACTGTAACGCCTCCTGAACCGTCAAATCTCACCGCCGAGAAACCATGATGTCTCAAGAAAAGGAGATAACTACGCTACATCGACATCTCTAATTCGTAGCACAATATAAACGTGCACCATACCTTGCTATACCTTGATGATTTGAGAAAAATGAAGAGATTAAGCACTAATCTCTTTTCAATGCCCTAGACAGTAGCGCAGAACCAATGTTCTTCGTGAGTCTAGTTCTTAAGCATAATGTGTTTTCTTCCAATTGAAACTAAATGTTTCTCCAATAAGCTTTTTCACATTTAACACCTCTTAATTTTGGTGTCTGCTATCTTCACGTCGGCCGTGTAGATTCTTAACCACAGAGAGAAAGGAACATGCAGGAAGGAACCATCAATGTTCCTCGCCAGTATGTATCTTAAATATATCGTTTTCTATATTTACGGTGGCTAATTAGCATCAAGACGACATAGTTTAACTAATGTAATGCCATTCCAACGTTGAACTTTCAATTTTCTTCGTCAGTACAATCGTAATTTTTTCCATATAGCGTACATTGACTTTATACCATTGTTTCATAAAAACTGTATAATGCTTGCTCAAATTGATTTTCTTCATAAAATGCCCAAATTATATGCAGACGATTCTTAAAAAAAATTTCGTCAATGACGAATTATATGCATTTAATTCTCTACGACTTCACTGTTGCACTCTTCAATTTGTATGTCTTGCAGGATCCAAGTATCCTTAAATCCAAATTTCTAATTTAAGAAATGTACGTATTTGGCCCTTATACAAATCTCTCATAAAAAAATGTAAACAGATGTAAGCAATTTTGTATTTATTTCACAAATCTAAAATAATGTAAACGAATTTGTCGACTACATGTTAACTTCTTTGTACAATTAAAAAAGACAATAAATATTTAGATTTCAAAAAAACGGTTGTTCGTAGTACTAACGATGATAATACTTTTTTTGGCAAGAACAAAAGTTGCTGTTTTTTAAAAACCCATCAGTTTCAATTTTGTTTTCAACTGGTAATTTTTTCCAAAACGACTTATCTGTTTTGTTAACGCTGTACAAATTAAATGTTTTTGCCGTTTGTTAACGGACTCTTACGTTAATTTTCGAAAACTTCCATTTTGTTAACGGAACTTTGCCCAGCCCTTCTCAAAGGAGATTTCCTGCTACCAGGTATATAGGCAGCAGGTTTCTACCTACATGCATATCTATATCATATTATCTCAGGTACAAATACAACTAAGAAAATTTAAATTTAAAAAAATCTAATTTTGAAATCTTAAATTTCAAACAGTATGGATACACATAAACATGAAAACAATACAGAAGCTGTCAATCAACATCTTTTGCTGGTTTACTTGTAAACTTTTAATTTGAAAAAAAGCTTGTTAGAAATCCAAACTTAATTGTAAAAGTCGTCATTGTTGTAATGATATAAACACCAACCACTGTACATAAATATTAGGCTGGACACATTACAGGTACTGAAACCCCCCACATATCATTTAATTTTGTAAGAGCCTGACCAGAAGTAATTTGCCATTTCGTGCCATCTTAATATTCTAAAACATTAGGGTTTCTTGATCCAAATACCATGAGTTGATTATTAAATACGTGATGCTGAGGATAACTTGGGTTGTCATTCATTTGATAAGCTTTCCAGCTATTTGTACTCTTCGTGTACACCTCAGTTGTAGTCCAGTAAGTCCTAAATGTAGATATAATGGCTCAATAATCTTGGTAATTTCATCCAAAATTTTAGATATTGTTTATCCCAAAGCATAGTTGAGTGTTCCACATTGTGCACATCCTCTATTTTAAAGGAATTGAGTTTTTTGCCGCAAACACAAATTTTCTAATTGCTATATATATATGCAACCAAATGTTGTAAATCTTTGAAATTTTAAACTTAGACTATTTGATCTAAAAAAATGTGTGGTTTGAAATATCAAAGGTCTACGACATCGGGTTGCAGAGATATAGGAAATAGAAAATTAGAGTTTGTGACAAAAACTCAATTCCTTTCCTGCATGTTTTATTTATGAGATTACAACATGAAGTGAAGTAGTTTAAAGAGGGTGGTTGGAGGGTACAACTAGGTCTGGGAATATTCCAACAATTACTAGCTGATCCCTTAACGGTTAGTTCCAACTGTTAAAAAAGTAAAATTTCAAGTAGCCGTTAATTTTAAAGTTAAGAACGGCACGTCCGTTCATTAACGGTATTTACCCTTTTTTAAATTACCATTAGTTATTGAATTAATTTTTATTAATGGCATTAACAGAAAATTTTCAACAACCGTTAATGGCGCGAGTCGCTAACGGTTTAAGAAATCAATAACAGCCTGAATCGCTGAAATAAATGTTGATAACAGTTAAGAAATCATTCTAGCATTTAAGCTTTTGAAAACAGAAGATTACATTTAAAACCTTCAAAACATGTTAAAAATTTCTTAAATGGTTAAAGCAATCGTTACCGGCGCAGCTATTAACAGTACAATACAATATTAATGTTTCATGAAATCGTTCTATTCATAGCATTTAAGCTTAGGAAAAATTAACAAAATTCACATTTAATTGCCCAGTCCTAGGTACAACACTTTTTAACACTGGATTTTATTCGGGCTTCAATTTGAAATTGATTGCAAAGCTTCACTTTACAACCTATCAGAATAGTTGGGCTTTTATATTTACCCAGTGCCATCAAATCCTCCAGCTGCCCACACATCTCCGTTATAAACAGCACATCCAAGAGAATATCTATAATGATGAGATAAAATAAGATCAGACCTAAAACTGAAGCTGTTTTTGATTGTTTTTAGAATCTTTGAAAATGAACTTATTCTTTTTAGAGATGATTTTATGGGTGAATACCCCAGACTTGGGTAAAATATGATAGGCCTTGAAGGTATAGAAAGGCATACTCTAAAAAAGAATGCTCCTACAGATATAGCCAGAAGATTCTGTCCTAGGAAGACAACTTTTAGACTTAAGTTATGGATTTAGATAGTCCAATGAGCATGGGACACACCAAAAATGCTGGAGGATCTTATCAATTTATAGCCTGGGGCCTTAGAGAAAAAAGCCTGAGAGTAAAGGTATAGGGTTGCAACACATGTTCATAGCCCAATTTTCCAAGACCAGGAAAAATGTTAAAAATAAACTTTTTTGTTTTTGACAAATATTAAGATGTGACACATTTTCTTACATTCATTTTTCAACGAGTTTTTAAAAAATATAGTTTTTAGATCTGTAGCTACAATAGCAAAAAGCTATGGGCTACTTTAGATATTTCTTACATGAAACGCCTTTTTTACATAAAGATAAAAGATTTTTTTGCAAAATAATCCTTTAGACAACAACAAGGTGATAGTGTCAAAAATGAAAGTGCTCAGGCTAAAAATCTAGAGGAGGGCATGGCGGGCAAGTAGATATATTCTCACCGCCCTGGCATTTACCTTGCACGGCAGTTTGGAAGAGTCTCCACAAGATTTCCATCTATATCATACTTCTCTGCACGTCCTGATACAGTTTCTCTGCGAAAGTAAAATGCTCATTTCTTGCTTATAAGAAACAGAGAGAAATTCGAGAATTTATAAGAATTAAACACTTTTCTAGTTTNTAGGACTCAAGGATACCGTTGTAGATCGGGCACTGCCATAATTACATGATTAGAGGGCCACTTGAAATTACGCTTACAGTCCCTTTAAACTTAACAATTAACCGGGCCAGGTCAGGCTTTTGTTGTGTGTATATTTAAAACCATTGCTATAACTTCAGAGTTTAAACCCTCAGGTTTTCAGTTTTATTAATAACATATGTTTAAACATTTAATTCCCAACTTTTATGTTTAAATAAAAGATTATATAAAACAATATCAATTTTTTCTTTTCTTACTAGGCTCTGCACCCTGGTCTAACCAAGGAGAGGTGTATTCGGTTCCTTCTATTTGAATTAAATCACCTGTTGGTCCATAATAACTCCGTTGTCTTTTGTTTTATATTTTTTTCATTTAAAAAATGACAAACAAATTACGTTTCTTAGCTCAAATTGGGATCGAAAGTCGCAGTTCTCTGGGATAAGGAAATAACTGTTAATTTTGCGTGCCTACAATACTTGGACATGGTAGACCTTTGGGGAGAAGGAATATAAGGGGTTATGTAATAAATACAGAGGCCCCACAGTAATCTAGATAAATTTTGTTGTACATTGTCCTTAAAGCAAAATGCACTCATAAGTAAATAAGCAAATCATGTTTTGCGATTAACCTAAATACGCATATATATATATAACTCCGTCAAACCCATTGCTTAAATACGTTATTGTAACAAATTCAAGAAAACACGAAGACGATTACTACTGTGTAGCGAAGTTGACCGCGCAAGATTTACAATACATAATACTATATCCGCTCCTAATCAAACAATTTATTAACAAATATAAAAAGTAACGATATAAGTAAATTAGGTAATTTTCATTACAACAACTTATGGAGAAAGTAGATTTCCTTTCTTAGCAACAAATAAACCAGTTTGCAGAGTGTACAGAAAACGATTTACAACAAGGAATATGACAGTGTGTGTGCAGACATGTTAGCAGCCTGTTAAATTACTCTGACCATTATCTATTTTAGTATAAACTAGACAATTTACAATAAAAATAAAAGTTTAAAAAAAACCAGTTTGCAGGTCTTCTCAGTCCTGACCTGAGTGACCGGAATAACTGCTGGAGAGTCAGGAGGTGAATATGTTTTATCTCCTCCTCCTCCACCTTCCTCTCCTTTACAATCCTTTGACAGAAAAGCGAGATGGGAAAAAATCTGGTACTCCTTTGCGACAATGCTGCTCCTCTAGTTTTGGTTTTACGCACCATCAATATTGAAAAGAAAATTTATCTGTTTACATATTAGAAATTCAAAATATTTTTACCTCTCCCACACAACAAATCGTCAAAGACATGAGTTATGAATTATGATCGTGTACATAACATATCAATCTTACGTGAAATTTACTTGAATATGACGTGATGCTATACTTCGTTTCTATTTGTTTTTGGGAACCTCTGTGTTGGCAGGATGATCGTGATTAGAATGCATTGATGTTGGTTAGAATTCAAATATAAAATCTATACACCAGGTTGATTAGTCCGAGTATCCTCTGGACTCCGTCTGAGCCTAACTGAGTGGGTAACCTGATCTGGATTACATAACCCAGCATATGTTAAAGAATATATATATATATATATATATACCAGGAGTAATTACATTTTACATTAAATACTATTATTTTTATACGAAATTTTTAATTATTTTAAACTCCATTTTTTTCGAAATAAGTATGAAAACAGTAAATTAGCTATAGCATAATTGCGTTCGGTGGTAGTAAATTTACGCATTTTCTGGCGTCAAGAAATGTTTAGATTAGTTGTGTGCGTATAGGCAGATAGCGTAGATTGAAATCTCTAGCGTCAGGTGGTTCATATTTTTAATGGATCTTTTGTGAACTGCAAAGAAAGGCAAAATGTCAGAAAATCTAACAACAAACATATCTCGGTAATTTTAATATCATTGTTATAATTATTATCAAAATTATTATTATTATTATTATCATTATCATTATCATTATCATTATCATTATCATTATCATTATCATT